TAGTAAATGGATCAACAGTGTCAATAGTGATGGGAGCTTGTGACAAATATCAAGAGATACCAACAAATCATAATATGCCAATATGTGAAGGCTATGTTGGGAATAAGAAAGTGAAGGTTCTATGAGACTTAAATACACTTAAATTCACAAGAATTAATACACAAAAACTGGAAATACATGAACAAATATACAGGGTTGATATCACTTTTAGTTTAGGAAAGAAATATATACTCACCTAAAGTTGACACAGGACACCATCCACTCTCATCTTAACTCTGCAAGCACATTCTCTAGTACCACCTTTATCTTACAGTTAAACACTGTGATAGTCCTTAGATCATATCTGGCTTGGTTGTGGCTCTCTTAGTATTGGCAAATTCAGCCATGAATCCTTGAACCAAGAAGGGAGTATTACCATCCACCACAGCCAATCTTCCTTTCTGTTATAGAGAGCTCAAACCTCAGTCCAGTTGGTGGTTATTTACTGGCAGTATCTCTTGTACACTAAGGTCTGCTTTAGAGCGGGGTGGATGATTAACATCTTAGATGGTTTTGTTGGGAACTCCACTCTTTGTTCTCTCTGGATTTGGTCACAGGATCTCTTTATCAGAGGTGCCTTGGTAGCTGCCGAGGTAAATACCTCTCTCTTAGTCTCCCTGATCTGGACAATGCTCTCTCTTGCTATAAATATTGATGCTCCTTCATTAACAGGTGATGGTGTTAATGGAGGAGATGGCTCACAAGCTGGCTAGCTCGTTTCCACTACCATTGTGGTAGTGGTGGCATTAGTCCAGCTTATTAGAACTACAGTGGTGGCTGGTATCTTCTGTGGGCTCTTCCAGTGCCTTGCTCAACCTTCAATACGATCCAATTCAAGAAAATGTTTCTTCAGCTTTGGGATGTAGTGTATACCCACTGAAGGTGCAAGTGCATCTGGTGATATCGATGAGTAGATACATCAAACTCTTTGATGGAACATTTTACAATAGGTATCATTTTTCCTAGATGGCAAAGACTCTTCCTTTGATGGTGTCAGCAGAGGCAGTATGGACAGCTGTAGAGTTGCTTAGAGGTTTGGCTTTCCTAGAGTCAATGAAGTGGTCGTCACCATGACATCCTCAATGACTGGTAAATCCAATGGAGGCTTGATTTCTGCTGGACTCGCCACTGCTGATAGAGAGCTGCTCAATCCCTAAAGACTTCAGGGAAGCTCTCCCATATCAGTGCACTAGCTACCAACACACCTTTGTCCATGGCTTCAGTAGCAGTGAGCAGCAGGATAGTTTCTGGGGTCTTAGATTTGAGAGCATAGTTTGCTCCTTTCCTGTACGAGAGTCCTGTGCATATTGGTCATCATCAAATTGAGAGTCCATCATACAGTATAAAATCTTTGAAGGTATTTTCGGGAATAAGGCAGGATCAAAAACATAACAGGCCAGAATGGTCAACAGTCCAATCTGAAAGTGCAAAAGTGCAGATTGTAAATGCAATGTCAGGTGAATTACAAATAGTCAAAAGTTTAGTTAAGTATGTATATTGAAAAAGGTCACTACACGATTAAGACCATGATCTGCTCTAAGACCCATCAGAGATGGGGGTCATCATAATTATATGTATTGGTCCAACAACATTCCTACAAGCTTTACATATAAGCATGCCCTATATTGCTCATAGAAGGTTTTGCTCTAATGCCTGTAAACTTCCCAATCCACAAGCCTCACTGGGTCTCTTAGTAACTAATACATCTAGCTTTGCAACTCTTTGTCGTCCCTGGTTTCTCTTAACAATATTATTACACATATGCTGCACATTGTGTGGTACATTCTATTATATTGTTACGTATCTGGTCGTTCGTTAATTTCTGGTATAAATTTATTTTAGGAAATTCAGCTATACAAGTCCTTTCTTAATTAAGACTAGTTTGTTCTTTCTTGATACAACTTTTTTGTAATATACAGAATTTCCACAGTCACTTTAAACTTTATAACCTTTATAACACACGCTATAAAGCACAGCGATTCACACACTTTACTTAAGGCGTCTACTGTTCCCTTGACTCAATTAACTATCTCTTCAATCTATTTATCTCTGCACTTGCGCTGGTTTTTCTCGCCAGGCTTATATACTAAAAAAGAGGGCGCCTGGCAAACACTAGGACATTCGCGGAGTTCCTCGATAATTCATTATCCTTCTAGAAACTCCAGCGCGCATGCTCCCGGGGTCGCGTGACTTCCGCTGTCGTAACAATATTATCATTTATATTTGTTCTTTCTAAACTATCGATTGTATAAAAAATATATTCAGTTAGTTAATAGATTGTTTTTAGTTAGAATATTATGTACTTTTTGAGGTTTTATTGCTTCTAATGGAATTTGAAGCAATTCTGAAATATTCATAATTAAAAGTTTTTGTTTGTTTTTTTTGTAGTGTTACTGTGCTTTTAATACCTATTATAAAACTTCATTTTCCACCTTATGAATCAGTTGCAAATACTCTGACATGGTCGTAAGGATATGACAGACTATGTTTGTTTTCTGCTCTTAAACTTAGAAAAGTCTTTATTGATATTCATTTTTAACAATATGTAAAAACTACGATGATATTCTGAAAGTCTTGAACTTCAAGATGGCTAACTGAAATCTTAAAGGCTCTTCTGCTTGTTGTTACTGTTACGTCTCCGTTTGTTAATTAACTTTCCGTAACTTCGTTCCGACGAAACTTTAGCGACACAAGTCCTTACTTAATAAAACTGGTTTATTCTTTCCGAATACAACTTTACGATACACTTATTTTCAACAATCGCTCTATAGCAAAC